TAATACATGCAGTGCATAGATTGACCGCGATATCACTGAGTCCAATCAATATCCGGGGAATATTTGGTAATTGAACATGCAGCGCGGTAATGAAATTGACTCTCCGCGAAGAGCTTCCGAATAGCAACATGATATCTATCGACATCATACTATGACCGTATAAAATATATAACCGCTCAATAGTTAGGTGTTTTAAATTAATTTATTACTTGAAAATTACATTAACTTGTTGTTATATGCCTATATAAATAAATCTTTTCAAAGGTTCCAGTGATTATTTTCTTTTGTTGTTCGTAATTTAAAATTTAAGGTGTTCTACCTTTAGTTTTAAGTATAAAATCCCGTCCTTAATGAAGCAAAAGCTCTAATTTGTTATTGATGATGTACTCTTCAGAATCATTATGTTTTTGTCAAATCATGCGGTTAATAAGAAAATCTTCTTGTCACGATGTTGTTCCTTTTTTTAAAGGGATTGTTCTTTTCTATCCTCGCAAGATTCTTTTGGTAAAGAAAATGCTTAAAGTACATGTTTCGTATAATTTATAAACGACTAATTTAGACTTTTTATACTTCATTTTTATGGTATCATTGCTATGTTTACAAAATATATAGCACCGATAGCAGAAGTTAGATTTTTGTTTAGCCTGCATAACAATGTTTATTCATAAAGGTATGTGGAGATATAGCCGTGTGGAGATATTATAACTGTTACTAAGTTTACTATCAACAAGCAATCAATTTATGAGTAGATTGTCAGTCGATTCCGTGCAGTATGTGCCTACTATTCGGTAATTGAACATGGGACGCGTTAATGAAATTTTCTCCTCGCCGGTAGATTACAATATCATGGCGAACGCCGCTATGTCATCACAGTTACATCATTAAAAATGCATTCCTTATACGTTAACTTTGTATTATTTATGTTATAAGCGTATTCAGATTCTTTGATCTGAATTATACAAATTTTTATCTGCATATTTCATTTCAAACAACGACCATTGTTTTCCTAGAATAGCTTTCTTTCCAAACTAACGCCTTTTATTCTTAAATTAAAAACAAAGAAATTTTCTAACAATCGTTCAAAAAATCGTATTATTCGACTAGATTTCATAAGTTGCTTTGAACGTTTGAACCAAACATTTTTCTTAGAATATTTATCGTGTGTACATCACAAAGAAATTCCATTTGGGGAAAAAGCGCAAATAGTTCGATATTGGAATTTCCCTTGTGTAAATGTTATCGCAGTTACGTTGCGTCATCGTACCTGTGCCGTGCCTGGGCCTGTGTCGCCAGGTCGCCAGGTCGACACTGCACAGAACACATTCGCACTCTTTGAATGGGCTTCAAAAAAGATGTTATCTTTGCTTCAAGAATTATCAACTCTATGGCTACCTGGAATATTTCATTGAAAGTTTGAAGTTAACTTTACACAACTTTAAAAATTACAATCGGTAGAGTATAAACAGCTGTTCCATGCGAAAAAACACACATTAAATAAAAAGAGAACAACATAACAATTGTTATTCTGTGCGAATGTGTGAATCAGTTTGTCGGTAAATTTTTGGAAGAGCGTGTCTGTCTACCGATAAGAATACGTTAGAGCATAAAAATAAAAGTTCACATCGAGGAGGAGTAGGAAAAATCGCGGAATAATATTTGGGATTTCCGTTTTATTTGCCGGCGGACCCTTCGCGCGCGGAGACAGAGATTTCCCGAGATGGCCCTATCAAACATTTATAGGAGTATCTACATAAAAGGACAACACTTAAGAACAGTTTCAATGAGTGTTCTACATGATAGGAGCGAGCCGTAATCCGAACAAAAAAGCTGATTCAATTTTCCATTTCATTGCACAAAATCCTTTTGAAGTTTTATAACAGATAAGTAATATTTAAATATATTTTATCGTTCAATTATACCTTGTTTTAATCTACGGTAAACAGTCAAATAAATTTGTCACGAAACTTTTAACAAATATAGTTACTCGTACGAGGTAAAGTTGTTAAAGTTAAAAACCTAGTTTGCAAAACGAATGACTTGCACCAGCCCTATACAAAGCCGTGTCACTGAAATAATATGAAGTCGTTCAATGTTGCAAATTCCACATCAACCTTTGTATTTTCTTCAAAATTTATCTTACAGATATTATAAATGCGAAAGTTTAGATGGATGTATGAACGTTTGTTCGAGTTTTTAGCCTAAACTGTTTAATTTATTTTTATGAAAT